GAAAGTCATTAATAGGCAATCGTTCGATGGCTGAATTGCACAAAACGCATGATCGCACCGGCTAGTGCGCGTTGCTATTTATTTTTTATTGTAGTCGGTGCTTGGCTGTTGAGAAACGGATGTCTTGCAGCTGAAGGAAGATCTTTTTGCTGTGCAGGAAGATATCTGGGAGATATGAAGAATTATTGTACGATTGTAATCTTTAACCAACTAATGTGCTCCTTATTGAACCACAGTCGAGAGAGCAGGCTGGGTTCTAATGTAACTGCGGCATATTGGGCCACATTTTCGCTTTAAACCGGCCGGAAAGAAGACTCTTTTAGAGTTAATAGACCCTCTTTAAAACCTCCTTCGTGCCAGTCCAGCAGCCGTCTAAAGAGTGTTGAAAGCAGTGACGTACGAATACTAAGCTTGCTGATTCGTGAAAGTTGAAGCACGAACGCCTATATAATGTTCGGGCGGAAGAGGAGCTGAAGCTGGGGGAAGGGGGGACCTGCCTGGCGGGGAAGTGCAACACCAAGTAACACTTATTTATTAGAGCAGTATTAAAGAAATCAAAAAAAAAAGTAAACAAACCCCAGAAATCGCTCGGCAGCAGCTCCAAGCTGCCGCTGCACACATCCAAGTTTCAGCCAGACCAACAATTACAGTAACAATTTCATTTTCAATCATCATATTAAATATCACGGTGGGAAAACTCGAGCCAGGAGACGGGACATTTGCATATTACAGGAAACCGAAGGGTAACTGGACAAGGCGAAGGGGACTGAGGCTCCAACTTCGCTTCCTTGTTACTCGCTCCTTCTTCCTTTTGCAACACCTGTCGTAACGAAGAGAGCAATAAAACTAGCAAATGAGCAGTCAGGTGGCTTGTCACCGTGATTATGCGAAGAAGCAGAATCCAGCACATTTTCTTTTCTTCTTCACTCGGCCTTTCTCTGTATTCCTCCTCCATATATGTCGAGAGGGGCAGAGAGGAGATGTTTGTAGTGCTCTGTTCAGTTTCCTCATAGCGTCCCAGTGCTATATTTTGTACGATTTGCCGTTGACGAAAGGGCAGCAGTAGAAGTTTCATGACGAAAGGGGCAAGGGACGCATGGAACTGTATTCGCCGTAATATTCAGGACACTGTAGTTATGTGCCAAACGAAATCTAATATGTGGAGGATATGCGCAGTTTGCTGATAATCTGTGCATGGCTTTGACCAGATCGTATTCCCCAGATAGATAACGAACACTCTATGAGCTTTTGAAATGTGGTGCTTATGCCTTCTGTAGGCCGAGAAGTACTCTGAGATCGATGAAGCTTGGCCTATGGATGCAGCGGTGCCTGTTTTCCAGAATTACGGTGATGTTCGGTTCTTTGGAGTTTTAAGAGCGGTACTGTTAATTTACATTCCTGTTTAGATTGCTACGGACATGGTTGCCACCGATTCATCAAACGATCAAATTGTTGCTACCATTCAGCGAGAAGACGACTCTGAACAAAACCCAACTGTCATGTCCGAGAACGATGGAGTTAGGTTTTTACCGTCTGCAGCACAGTGTTATGCGGAAATCAAGTTGACATCAGGTGAGCCGTTTGGTGAATTTTATAGTTTTGTTAGAGAGAAACTATAGCTAACTCTTAACTTTCTGAAAAATAGAA